ACAAAGACTTCTACTGAGCACTTAAAGAACTCAGGGCATGGGGCACCTGGGTGGCTCAGTCGTTAAGTGCCTGCCTTCGGCTGAGGTCATGATCCCAGGGTCCTGGGATCAAGCCCTGCATTGGGCTCCCTGCTCAGTGGGGAGCCTGCTTCTCTCTCTCCCTCTGCCCCTCCCCTTGCTTGTGTTCTGTCTCTCCTCTCTCCCTCTCAAATAAATAAAATCTTAAAAAAAAAAAAAAAACCTCAGGGCATACCATTAATCCCATAATCCCATAGGTTTTCAACTTCATCTCTGAACATTCCTTCTCTTGCCTTAATTCAGTGTTACTCAATCCCAGATACACTTCAGAATCATGTGGGGAGCTTCTTAAAACTCTCAATGTCTGGACCTCCCACCACACCAGAATCTCTGGGGGTGGGACCCAGACCTCAGTAGGTTTAAAGCTCTCCCCCAGATGATTCCTGCGGGCACAACATGAGTACCAATGGGCTAACTGACGCTCTGTGCTCTCCGGCCAGGGGCTGCTCCCCGGACAGAACTCTCCTATCAAGGGGCCCTTCCTCTCCCAAGGCTCTGGCACCACTGGGCCTCAATGGGCCTCAAGCGGGCAGGCCACTGGCTCTTCACTGCCACATCCAAACACTAAATCTCTCTCCCCTAAAATCTATCTTTCTAAATTTCAGGCAGTTCCTTGAACACATGGGGATCTCTTGCATGCCTGCTCCTTGCATTTGCTTTTTCTCTACGGTAATACTCTGAACCCCTCAGCCATCTGAAAAGAAAAATTCTCTTGTTTAAAACTCATTTCACTGGTCACCTTAGCCCTTCCATGAAGCCCTCTTGGTCTAAGCTTAAAAGTACTGATCAAATGCTTCTTCCACAGCACTTTCATCCTACAGTGCTGTTTTAGTACACACTGCGCTGCCAGTGAGAAGCACTTGCTGTTCCAAGGTAAGCAATTAGTGGAATAAATAGGAAAATCCTGAGCACATTAGTCTACAGGGAGCCCCAATCATCAAATGTGGTGCTAATGTAAAACTGAAAAAATTATCCTTTGTACCAAAAAACTTTTTTAAATAAAGATTATCGCCATAAGAAATTTGGCATGAGATCAATACTATTAAAGAGATTTAATTATTGGAGAACCAAACAGGCCCTTAGAGAACTGACATACAGAACAAGCACCAGCTCTGCAGATGGCATTTTCCTCAGTTTATACGCATACCCACAGTGAGCTACTAGTTTAACTCTCATGTTAACACGGCTCCATATAAAACAGTTAACTCTAACTGCTTGTTAGCCATCTGTGTTATAAATCAGTCTTTTTTTAAAAATTAATAAATAAATGTGTCACTTCTTCGGAGCTGAGCCAAAATACCACGCCCTGGTCCCTAGCCTGTCCCAGGAAAACATGGAACACAAACCGTTTGATTCTTTATATATTCACTTGGTCACTCTTGATTTTCTCTATAGTATGAAAAATAAAAAGATCTGCTTCTTTGAATTTATTCCTTTTCCTAACTCCAGGGCCCCATTTGTATAATTTACTCCAGATGTCCGTATCATACTAGTGCTTAGTATTAAGGACCAGCTAAACTGCGTTTTATGCTGAACACCTATACTTCATCTCTCTCACTTGATAAAAGTAGAGATATACTTCTAGCATATGTAGAAATGAGCTCTGTATACCTTTGTGGACACATCTGCAAATGTACAAGTGCTTTTCTCTTACATACTTAAAACCTCGAAGGACATCACTGACTAGCCACATAGTTTTTTAAATAGCTGTTCCTTTTTAGGGAACAGAATGTCTTCTTGTTTATTATAATCTAGTCTTAAACATTTATCCATTTATCAAATTAAATAATATGAAAATTTTAAATCCAGGGGTACCTGGGTGGCTCAGCCAGTTAAGTGTCTGCCTTTGGCTCAGGTCCTGATTCCCAGGATTCTGGGACTGAGACCTGCATCAGGCTCCCTGCTCAGTGGGGAGTTTGCCTTTCCCTCCATGCTTGAGCTCTCTCTCTCTCTCTCTCTCTCTCTCTCTCTCTCAAATAAATAAATAAATAAATAAAATATTTTTTTAAAAAAGGAAAATTTAAATCCAAAGCCTTTTTATCTTAATCTCTTCTCACAGCTACTGACAAATTTAAGATTTAAATTATACCAACCTTCCTTGTTTCTCCCCTAGGTACTATAGTTTAAGCCTCATTTGGATGTATATATTTTTTTCCAAAGTCAGATCGATTGCCCATATATAACAAGGAACACTCAAGAAAATGTTTAACAGAGCAAAAGAAGAACTCAAAGTGCTTAAGTATGCCCTAATAAAGCTTGCTGTGTGAAGTGGTAAAAATGACCTCATGAGAGAGTAAGCCAGAAGGAAAAGAAAAGCAAATTAAAAAAAAAAAAAAAAAAAAAAAGAAAGAAAACATGACAACTAGAAATCCGAAGCTAACGTGTGGTAAACTTCCTTTTTCAGTTTCAACTCTTTTAGGGAAAACTACTGGCCTAAGATACAAAAATTTAACTTTAATCACATAAATAAAGAGGAGGTAACAGATGAAAGCAGTTTGGAAATGTTCTTACCAGTATTTTAAAGCTGGTGGAGAATAACGTTCCCTAACCACCAAGCCCTCAGGGGATTGTTAAGTCTTGTATAAAGAAAGAAAGAAATGGCAAGCTTTACCAAAATTGACCAGGTTTCTTTACTGTAGGACTTCAAATCCTTTAATGAGCCCATATGCACTGTGACTCTCCACAAGCGGGTGCTGAGGTGGCAGCCTGCGAATTTGTCTTATCACAGAACCCTGTTCATCCCTCCCAGAAGACCGCTTTATCACAAGCGGTTTGAGAAAGACTAGAATACACAGATGCCCCGCCCACATGGTTCGGTGAGCCTCTCCCAGGGCCATCAGGAATTGGGCATGGCACAACGACTAAATACAGTCACCTATTCAGCTCCAGGATTTCCTCTGTTGAATGTGTGTGTCCCACTTACAGTGGAGGAAAAGAGAGTAAGGGAAGGGAAGTGACGAAGGGGTTTTCTGCCTGCATTTGTTACACACCTGTTTCTGTAGTCTGAAATCTCCAAAGTTAGGCAGCTGAGGTGGAGGCTTGGGCTGAGCACTCCGCTCACTGTTACATTGTGATGGGAAATCTGGCAGACGAAGAAGCAGCCTCATTCATTAACAGTGACTTGAGAATTCCCAGCCCCCCATCACATCCTTGGTCACTAAGACCCCAAGCAGGCAGGAAGGCCACCTCAAGCAGGTCGGATGAGGACTGCTGATAGCAGCAACGCATTTCACAAGCAGGAAGTCACTCCTGTTACTTGTACAGGAGAAGATAAGGAGGTTGATCATAAAAGCCCTTTCAGACGGGTCTTCATGCATTCATCCAGGCGGCTCCCAAGCCCTAGTTTAAAACCAGTAGCTAGTAGGTAACTGCCTCCAGAATGCCCACAATTTTGTTGTGACAAAGCCCAGGTCTGCTGTTGGTGCCAATCAGGAGTTTGGTCTCATCTAGGTCCTCCACAGGCGGCACGTGGTGAAAGCCTCACCGGCCAGAGCAGCAGATCACTGTCTCACTGTATACACAGACACTTCAGCTCCGGGGATGGGGAAGGCAGCGACCTTTAGGAGATGGACCACATCTGGGAAGCTGGCTCTACCTATTTACTAGCTATGTCACCTTGGCTGACTTGTTTAACCCCTGTATGCTTCAATTTCCTCACCTGTAAGAAAATAAAGGATATTAACACCTACTTCATAGGATTTTTTGAAGATTAAATAATGCATTGAAAGCACTTAGCACAACACCTGGTCTACTGCAGATGCTCAAGAAACAGAGCTAGTAATGTAAATGAGCAGAAATTATAAGCAGGATAACGCTTAGGATGGAACTAAAGCTTGCCATTAGATAAACAGTAGGGACTCAATAAATACTTGTTGACTGATTAATCCACAACTTTTAAAGCCAATCCTGGAGTATTAGAAAAGGGGCTCTCACTCGCTTATATGTGAGTCAGGAAGAACGGGGCTTTTCCTTGCCCTTCAAACAGAGGAAGGAAAGCAGTACTCACTGTATCTGGACCTCAAGGTTGAGTGAACGCTAAAGATGATCTAATTCTCTAAAAAAAGGACAAGCAAATGCCCGAAATGGTTTCAGTGACTTAGCAAGTCCTAAGATGTGCCATCTGGAAAAGTATGTTCTGAAGCATCTAGACCAATAAGGTAGAAACTAGGACTGTTAACAGAGAATTTCCCAACATTTTCTGCTGCAAGTTAGAGGGGCTTTAAAGACAGAAAGTCTCTTCAGCAGCAATTAATGAAAGGAAGGATCTGTAGTGCCCTTTACCCCACTCCGCAGATTCGCAGCTTGCTTCTCATTTCCAGCTCTACAAGGAGTGTTGATGAATAAGACCATAGTAGCACATATAAATGAGGCAGAATTAATTCACAAGTGAAACAGATTTTGGTGACACATTCTCCCAAGTCCTGCTGTTTCAGCTTATTGTTCCAAAGAAAATACCAACCTAAAGATAAAGAATGCACTGCAGGCCCAAACCACAGCACGAATACCATGGTGACAACCATTAATCATGAAGAATTAACACAGCTCCTAAAATACTGATGACAATATACACATCCAAACTGTACATACTATATAGAAAAACCATGTCCCCCACCCCCCAACTGAAGAGTCACCCATTCTTCTTCTTTCTCTATCTGAAAACAACATGCAACCCTTGATGGCCAAAGGAGAACCAGTATGCATTGGTTTGGTTGCTTATTGAGGAAACTTTCCCTTTTCCACATGAGGTTGGGGGACTGGACAGATAAGAAGAAATGCAGCTACTCTCTATACTCTCTGTCCAGACGTCATCTTGGGAATGTGACCGGCCAGTTCTGTGGCTACCAACCCTTGCAAAGAAAGCACAGTGGTAGGACAACTTTGCTATACCCAACAGTTCACAGAAATCAACTTCTGTTTCCTACCTGTGATGGACAAGGTCTTGGAGGGAGCGCAGGTGGTGGAGGTAACAATCCTGACTTAGTAGCTGAAAAGAAAAACACATACTGTTAAGAATTACCAAAAACACATCGGGTGCTGCACTCAGGGTGGAATCTGCTTGAGATAGTCTCTCCTCCTCTCCCTCTGCCCCTCCCCACCTCTCAAATAAATAAATTTTTTTTTTTAAAAAGAGAGTTACCAAGAACAAAACAAAATACCCTTTCCACTTTTTAACTAGGAATACCAATTGCCCTTAACATTTAACTAGGAATACCAATTGCCCTTAACATTTAACTAGGAATACCAATTGCAGTTAACATGTTTAGGTTATTCAAATCCATCTGAAGGCTTCACTTTTTTTTTTTTTTTTAAAAGGAGTACATGATATTTCTAATCACTTTTTCATTTTCATCCTACCTACCTCAAATCCAATTATTTATATAGGCTATTTTGATTTATATAGGCTATTTTGTATAAAACAGTAAGGAAAAGACACCCTCTGATCAAAGGACTGGAACCCAGCATGGGAAAGGCAGTCAATCCCTCATTATTCTGATGTTACTTGTTTAGTTTCAAATAATCTAGGCCCTTTGGTTTCTCTAATATGTCTCCCTCTCTCTTGGCCATTACACTACTCATTAGTTCAGCAAGTGGGCTACAGAACGAAGGGAGCCAGAGTCCCCACAGTCAGCTCTGCTGCCCTGTAAGCTACTGGGTCTGACAACAGTGGGGAGGCTGAAAGAGATGGGACTAAACGATGTTGAGGGACACTTCAAAGATCTCAATTTCCTTTTCTCTCCCTGATCCTTATTAGCAGAAATAAAATCTGTTCCTATAATCATCTGACCCCATTTAAAGGATGTTTTGAACAAAAGTCTCTGTCTAATTTTTTTTTAATTTTGTGAGGTACAGAGAACATTTGAATTAAGCCAAGAATGAGTTGTAACTAAATGAAAATAAACATCTGCTAGTGAATTATAAATAAAGCTCATGATCATGCACAAGAAGTAAGTTTATTATCACACACTGGCAAGTTAAACCATATTCTTTACAAAGTCTTTAAAAAGCAAACCATGCTCTATTTAACCATACCTAGTTTACTGGCGATTCTGTAATATGTGTGCTAATATTTGGACAATTTTCTGTGACTTAAAAATAAGTTATAGCAATGTGCCAAGAACATGAAAGTTTTTGTAAATCACTTCTGATCTGACCTAGCTAGATCAGACGAGCCAGAAGATGGAGTCTGGAGCTTTCCACAAAGGTAACTGAAGAGTAATTTCATAGAGATTTGCATTCTGAGCCAGTGCACGGATCTGGTACAACCATGTGGGCCCATCAGTGATTTCTCTCAATCTGTCTTTCATTAAAATTTATGAAACACATCATTGGGTCAAAACTCCAGAGGTGGTGAGACCTTAACAGCCTTCGATAACAAAGCATATAGCAGCAGAAAAACAAAAGCCTCAGACATTATCCATCTCAGGGCCATTCTGTACTCCAAAGGTCCTCAGGATTGGGCCTTTAAATTACCGGTTTCTTTAAAAACAAAATTTTTTTAAAAACTACACATGCTTTTAAAGCAAAGGCCTTGCACCAGAACAAAGTGTGTTTTTAACAAAAGAGGACTTATTAACAAAAGAGGACTAAGAATTGATAAGCCATTTAATTAACCAACCTTTTGCTTCTAGCAAGAGGGATTAACAAAGATGAGATTTTCCCTATTTGAAACAGCCGAAAACAAACACAGTTTTTATATGAAATCACAGTTTTTAGACACGAGACCAAAATGTATAATACAACAGTTTTCAAGACACTAGGAAATTTGGCAGCAAAAGACCGTGATCCCTGAGAGTGAGGAAACCAACCAGCTGAGTCATATGTCTCTCTCTCCCTGCTTAGTGTGCTCAGATGGAGGATCTGCCTCCAGATGCATGTCTGATTCATTTCATTTTTCTATTTTTTTAATTTAAAAAATGCCTTATTTTTGTAAAAGATGATATGAGGGTGTTTCTGAATATACTTTTGGATAAAATCCTATCACCTATGAATATTCACAGCAATTCTGTTTCTTCTTTTCAGTACCTTTATCTATTTTTGTTTTTTATCTTACTTACCTGGCTAGAAAATCTACTATAAAGTTGACTTATAATAATCATATGGGCATTGTTATTGTCTCTTGATCTCAAAGGGAAGGCTCTCCTTATTTCAACATTAACTATGATATTTGCTATAGGTTAGTATAGAAACCCTTTAAGGGATTATGAAAATTCCCACCTACTATTATTTTGAGATATTTTTTTATAACCTGTTGAGGCATTTTAACCAAAACTGCATGTCCACCCACTGAGATGATAGTATTTGCCCCTTACAATTAGTTAAAATGATAAGTTAGATTATAAATTCTTAAGTATTAAAACACCCTTGCCAACCTAGGATAATTCCAACCCGGTCAGGTTTTTATACCCGCTAGATTTAGTTGGCTAATACCCTGTTTAGGATTTTTGCCAACTGTATTCAGAAGTAAGACTGATAAGTGGGTTTCCTTCCACATATGGTTATCTGGTAGGTTTGATACGGCTGGAGAGTGTTCCCCATCTGTACTCTGGAACAGGTGGCTGCTGTTGAATGTCAGGTAGAACTTGACAGCAGATGCATCTGGGCTTGGAGTTTTGCTTGAAACAAGATTTTTAATGACTTCATTTCTTTAACTATTACAGGATTATTTAGACTTTCTAATTCTTAGGTCAGTTTTGATAAATGATATTTTTCTAGACATTTATTGTCTAAATGTTCATATTTATTGCCATAAAGACATTCCCATGCCCTCCTCTACTCATCTTAATCTCCGTGCACATAACTTTTGTTTTCTACTGCTAATGCTGTTTGTATCATCACTCTAGTTTCCCTTCATTGAGCTTACCTGACATTTTCCCATTTTATTACTCTTTTCAAAAAGCCAGCTTTCCTGAGCCTCTGTATTATCTGCTTGCTTTGTGTTTCATTAATATCTGTTCATCTCCTTGTATTTTCTCTCTTTGGGCTTATCCTATTCTTTTTGTAGCTTAAATTACTTGCTTAACTGATTGCATTTCTTCTTTTCTAATGTAAGCATTTAGTGTTACAAATGGTCTTCCAAGTGTCACAGGTTTTGATATGTTCTCATTCAGTTTTAAAGTCTTCCTAGTTTCCATTACAACCTCTTTTACTATCGATATTACCTTTTGTCTGAAGTTCATCCTTAGAACTTCCTTCATGGATAGTCTGTTAGGACCAGCTTAGTCAGTGTGTGTGACTGAAAAGTCTTTATTTTACCCTCATTCTTCAAAGAGTATTTCACTGGGTATAGATTCTAGATGGACAGCTATTTTCTCACAGCACGTTAAAAATAATATTTCGCTGTCTTCTGGCTTCCATTATTGCTGGTGAGAAGTCATGCGTCTATAGAACCATTGTTTTCTCGTTAAGTAGTCTGTCTTCTCTCTGGTTGCTTTTGAAATCTCTTTGCAGTGTTCTGCAGTACCGAACTTGACACTGAGTCTGCCTATTTCTTCATCCTCTTTTTCTTTCATAACCTACTGAGCTTCACTAGAGTTTCTGAATCATGTGGCATCCTGTTCACCCTGGGAAATTCTGAGTGATTCTCCAAATAGTGTCTCTCCAAATATTGCCATTTTCTGTTACCTCTCCTTCTGGGGTTCTTTGTCTCAACTGTGTTGTGTTCTGGATAATTTTCTAAGATCTACTGTTACATGAACCAATTCCCTTGTCAACTGTGCTTAATGTCCTGTTAATCCAGTCCTCAAGTTTATTTTAATGACTGTTTCCTTTCTAGTTCTATTTGATCTGTTTTCAATTTTTTTTTCATTTTTATAATTTCTTGGCTACATTCTCATTTTTTCTGTCTCCTTTTCTTTCAATTTATTAAACATATTTATGTAATAGTCTGTGTCTGATAATCCTACAATCTAAGGGCTTCATATTTACTACCCTTTTGTTGCTCCTGCTAGCTCTGTCTCCTTGTGTTCCATTTCCTAGAGTGCTTGGTGACCTCTGACTCCAAACGCACATCCCTTGGAACTTCACCTGTAGGAACTGGGCCCTGTGTGCAAAGTGGGTTCCTCCTCTACTGTCCGCCAGAAACCCAAAGGTGCTTATCAACCTGAGATCACTTGAAACTAAAAGCTTGGCTTGATACGTATAGGATTCCCAGTTTCTGCTGTCCTGAATTTTATTAAATGTCCTAAGCAAGACCTTTGAGTCTAGATAGCAGTTTGAATATTTGCACCTAAACTCACTCTTACCTCATTAACATAATATTGAAAAGAACTTTTTAAATTTTCTCTGGGAAAATAGATGAGTGGCTGATAGCTAAATGAGCAGTAGAGAAAACAGACAATAACCAAGGTGTACCAAAGAAGCCCCCCAGTTCTCAAGAACTGAGGATATCAAACTCCTCTGGAAGTAAGGATGAAGAAAGCAATAAAATGAGGAAAGCAATAAGAAGTAAAGAAAATGAACTAATCATGACTCCTATTTCCTACCCTTTAGAAGGGCATACCTTGACCATACCCTTGAAGGTCAGGTTCCAGCTACACCTCATGCAGGTTTGGGCTTCAGGATCCCTGCTCTTGCGGTCCCCTCTGCCTGCAGTGTCCGTGCGCTAACCCTACTCCACCTGGATAACTCAGAATATAGTAAGTGTCCAACAAATATCTCTTTGAACTAACATAAGAACTACAGGACCATGATCCATCCCCATGTTGGAAAAAAAATTAATTGAAGCCCTTTAGGAGCAGTTAGATCCTAAGATTTTTCTCTCACATTCTACACATTTTCATCATGTTTTCCACTCCAGCAAAAGGCTAGAAGTATCCTTCTTCTCCAGGGAGGACACCAGGCCCAGATGAAGGCAGGGGGCCATACTGAAAACAGGGGGATCTAGTATATGTATACATTCTGGATGGTAAGACTGCCATCCCTCTTCCTCTCTGCTCCCAGACTTTTGTATCCAGAGGTTAAAAGAAGTGCTCCAGGGAAATGGAC